ACAGGGTTTCTCTGTGTAGCCCTGGCTGTCCTGGAACTCACTCTGTAGACCAGGCTGGTCTCAAACTCACAGAGATCTGCCTGCTTCTGCTTCCAGAAGGCTGGGATTAACAGTGTGCGCCATACCACCAGTGCCACTTTCAAAGGGAAGTGTCTGTAGTTCACACCACCAACCAGGAAGGAGAACGATGGAGTGAGGTTAGCGTCTCAAGCCTGTAACCAAGAAGCTAAAGTCTCTCCCATCTTGCTCTGATGGTAGAGAGGAGGGACAGAGCCAGAGGAAGAAGAGGAGGAGAGAGGAGAGATGCGTATTTAAGTGACCAGAATGAAGCCCCACCCACCCCGCCACCACCTCAGTGGAGGCTGCCTCTCTCAGAAGAGGCTCTGCTACAGAGAACGGTGAAGTCAGAGCTGTGGTGGTGATGCTCTGTCCTCTGAACGACTGTGCCAGAGAAGTGAGGTAGTCTGTCTGAGAAGACTCAGATTGCCCCTCCCCCCCCCCTTCTGTTCCTTGGGAGCTAAATCAGAGCTGGGGCTCTGTGTTTGGCTTGCCTCGGGTCACATGTTAATCTTGCATCTAGAGAGCCAGGTCTGGCCCAGGAGCAGATACTGAGGACTCATGTGGAGCAGGGAGGAAGAGGTGCCAGGGCAGTTGCCAGGTCGGAACTGGGCAGCTGTCCCAAATGTGTACGCAACTGTTGCCTTGGCCGAGTTTATGAGCCGAAGGTCGTGGTCGCCCTATTTTTGGAACAGCAGGAAAAGCAACTGCTTCTAACTTGCAAAATGGTAACTTTCCACAAAAATAGCAGACGCAGATCTGTGGGAAGGCCTCAACCTCTTGCACCTGAACCTTGGAAAGACTACTACATCAGGTGGTCGCCATACTTTTAAGGCCAAAGCAGTCCCAGAGGCAAAAGTCTTCCTGTCATTTTCTCTCCTGCTCTGACAAGAAACAGGGTCAGGACAGAAAATAAATTAAATGGAAACAACAAAGCTTGTGCCCCTGAATCCGGGGCCACACTTCTGCCTTGTGGCAGAAAATAAGCATGCAGGCATTCGAAGCAGAGCAGCTCCCTACGGCCCTGTCCAAAGCTGACCAGGGCAGTCAGTGTTCAAAGTTCAGGGGTGGGGGTGGGCTTGTTGCCAAACAGAGAAGCACTAGACAGTTCGGAGGATTGGAATGTCTGTGGGTCGTGTGCGAAGAGATTTGTGGCTGGAGGTCATCCCAACTTCGTCTCCCCAGGTTTATAGAACTGATTGATGTGCGGCCTTCCTAGCCCAGAGGCAAACACCCAGGCTGCCAGAATTTGGGCATGACCTGGAATTTCTATCACTTGACTTCAGCCTGAGTACTTAATATGTAACTACCAGCCACTGCACTTGTCCAGAGAACATGCAAAAGTAGCTTCTGGGACTGTTTGGAGAGGAGTGCAGGCTTAGCATCCACCTGCCTAGGTGCAAATTCCAGCTCTGGCCTCAGTGTGAGAGCTAACACTCCCAGAGAGGGTCAGCGACATTTCCAAGGGCCCACACACAGGTACGAGCAGCCAGAGAGTCCAGATGTGTAGTGAGAGTCCCCTCAGGGTATGGAGAGTCTTCAGGACAGGGTGGGGGCAAGTAGCAGTTGCTGCAGAAGCAACACTGGGAGACACAATGGAAAATTCCCATAGATTTCCTGCCTTTATGATGTAGCTCAGGAGTGCAACCCAGGGCTAAATTCTGATGCCAAGGTCTGAACTCTAATCCCTGGACTAAGCCCTGATCCCTGAGCTGGATCTTGATTCCAGCCCTAAGACCTGCTCTTCATGGTGAGCCCTGGCCCCTCCATTAAAGCTTCTCACTGATCTTAGGTTGGAGACATGATCCTCAGGCTGAGCCCTGAACTCTCTGGTTTCCCAGCCCTCTCGATCCTGGTAGAATGAGGCCAGTCACCTTGGATCTACCCTTTCTGCTCCATCTCAAGCAGCTGGCCGTGCTTTTCACTTGTGTGCAAAAGCTTGTTCCACCTCCCCAGCTAGAGCACAGGTCCAGCCACCGGTCTTCAAATGTTCGCACTTTCAGATCAGCTGGGAACCCTCACCCTGCCCTTGCATTGGAGACCTGCTCATTGCCTGTACATGGGACAGAAGCATTCAACTGTCCCCAGAGTGCACATGTGACACACCCAGGTATATGTGTCACTCCTGAGGGTGCACACAACTAGCTGATACCCTTAGGGATATTGTTATTTTTTTTTATTGGGTGAAGGAGCTCTGGGATTGAATTGAAGGTCAGACACCCCCAATAGGGAGCCCTCCAGTGGCACCTGGGGGTTTAGAGCCCCAAAGGCCTTCTTCCCTGGAAGCTCTGGGACTGATATTGTTGCAAGAGTGGCTTAGGTGTCAACCCTGCAGAGGATCCCCAGTGCTCTAACCACCTACTCCTAAAGACCACAATACAGCTTCCTGCTACTGTCTTCCTCCCTCCCTCCCTTCATTCTTTCTTTCTTTTTTTAAGTTTTTTGAGATTTCTCTGTATTTCTCTGTGTAGCCCTGAATGTCCTCTAACTCACTCTGTAGACCTTCGAACGCAGAGATCCACCTGCCTCTGCCTCCCGAGTGCTGGGATTAAAGGGGTGTTGTGTGTCACCACCACCCAGCTCCTGCCTCTGTTTTTATTGATCCATGGGGAGGGGTTGGGGAGGCAGGTGGGCTTATATCTTTAGGCGAGCAGAAATGGGGCGGTTTACATGCTCAGGGGAGTCCAGGAAGGCTTTGAGCTTGGGCCGGGCTCTGAGGCATGCCACATAGGCTGAGAGCAGGGGGAAGTCATTCAAGGAACCAGGAAACAGACGCTCGTGGTTCAGAAGCAAGTCAAGCAGCTGGTAGTCTGCAAAGGAGATCTATGGGAAGGAGAGAAACTCCATGGAGCTAAACACTATGCTTCCTGCCTTCACCTCTGCATCAGGGAACTGGGCCTCAGTTCTGAGAAAGAATTTGAATAGGGTGTGAAAGGCCTGACCCAGTACTCACCTGGTCACCCACAATGAAGGACTGGCCACCCTTTTTCTGGGCCAGCAGAGTTTCAAATGGCTTCAGGTGTCCTGGAAGTTCCTTCAGATACTGGGCCTTGCCCTCCTCCTGTGGTCGGAAATGACCCCAGCTGGGGATGCACAACCAGACTGACCACCCTGCTTTGCATTAGCCTGCAGTCCCTACATACATTGTTACGGAGAAACTGCTGGCCAAAGTGCCTGATGAGGTCTTCCAGTCCATCGTCCACCATGTCCACCAGTGCTGCCTCTTGCTGGCCTTTGCCATAAAGCCATGAGTCAGGAAGCTGGCAGCATATTCAGGTTCTGTGATAGTCCCTACATACCTAGTACTAGTCCCTCACACCTCAGCCTGGGCCCTACTTTGCTTTGGAGATCTCCTCTGTCCTGCCTACCTGAGGCAAGCCACCCTCACAAGGGGAAGAAGAGTCTACCAGCCCCCAGGGCCACAGCCAACTGAAGCCCAGGTCTGTTTTTCTGGGCCACATCTGTCACTGGATCTGCCACACCAAAGGAAGACAAAGACTCTGGTTTGTCCCTCCCCTAGAACAAGCTGTCCAGGGACCTAGACAGACTGGGGTGTGAAGGCAGCTATCCACATACATTGTGAGAGGCACAAGGTGAGAAGATGGCAGGCCCCAGCCCAAGGCTTTGATCTGCTCTCTAGGTCCTGCAGAAATGGAGTTGGCCTGGACTACTCCCATTACCCATCTATCCCCAGGTTTCTTTGTCTTTATGGAACTCCAGGCACCTCTTTCCTAGCCAGGCTCACAGAGATTAGTTGCCTCTGCCATCTTCCTGCCATTATTCAAACAGGCTGAGGCCTCGTCTCTGTGACTATGGGTTTCCCAGACTCAGGTTAGAAGAAATGAACAATAAGGTCTACTGGAAAGTCTCTAGCCCCACTGCACTGTCACACATAGAAACTGGTGGACTCTTATGCGATGTCACCTAGGAAAAATGATACAAGTTTAATGGGAACGCACAGCCCCTGGCTGTCCACAGACAGCCCAGCACCACACCTGGGAGCCTTCTGGAACCTGGGCCTGCAACCTTCCTCTAGGGTAAACTGCTTGCCCTCTATCCAGGTGAGACATTGGTTGCTGCAAGTGAGGCAACTCAAAGCCCCAGGACAATTTTGCAGGACATCTGTCAGGTGTCTTTCAGGGCTGCACTTCAGGACTCACCCAAGGAGCGGCCCAGGTGCATTCGATTGGTACAGGGTGAGGTCTCCGTCTTGGAACTTGGGGAGCTGCCCAAACAGCTGGGAGAAGACAGCTCTGTAAAGGGTTTTCAATCGACTGCCCCAACCCTAGTCACAGCCCCACCTCCTCTTTAGTGTAGCCACTCACACAGGAAGTCTTGAGTGTACCCTGCCCCCAGGCATCCAAGGACACCACCTCCTCTTTCCAGCTCTGGCCCTGGTCGGCTAGCAGCATGCGCATAACTTCGCACGCCCTGTATTAGGGTACAGGACAGGGGTTGGGGAATAGCGAAGAGACCTGGGAGAATTTGGAAGAGTGGAAAGTTGACAAGGGGACCGAACTGAAACGTTGGGAGGGGAGAAATGTAGTAGAGGCCATGCCCTACTACCTAGGAGGGGGAACCCAGCTCCACAATGGCCCAGGAAAGGTAGAGTTGCAAAGTGCAGCTGCCTAAGGAGCCTGGCAGGGCAGTTCTGGCCCCACCAACCACAACTGTAGTCCCGCCCCAGTTCTCGGTCCCACCCCAACATGGCCTTTGCCACGCCCCTCCGGCTCCACTGTCGGTAGCCACAGGAGCGATCCTGAGGACTAGTTAGAGCCCTTCATCTTGAAAGCGCTGAGGTCACACCTCGGGAGGGGAAATAGACGATGGTGTAAGGCGGCACTAGGAGAGAGAAACAGACGAAAAGCACGATGAAGACTCATGGGGGGGTGGAGTGTCAACTCATTCCAGGCCCCGCCCTTACCGCCCAGCTCCTACTTACTTTTGGGCGACGCAGTGCTGTGCAAGTTCAGCAGCAAGAGAGAAGGTGATCCGGTTCTTATATTTGCAGCGCAGCTCCGCCTCCTCAGACCTCGAACCCTGCCCCAGGAATATGAGGAGTCAGCGCGCTCAGTACCCCAGGCTCCAGGCAAAGGCTAGGCGAGGTGGGGCAGAGCGGGCCAGACTCACCTGTACTGTACTGGGGCTTTGCAAGAGGCACGCACATACACACACCCTACACACGCACATAAATAAAATAAAATAAAATCTTTGGAAAGATAATAAATCAGAGCCAGTAAAAAAAAAACCCAGTGAAATGCCACCCAGCCTGATGACCTGAGTTCAACTCCTGGAACCCACAGTGTAAAGAGAGACTCCTAAGAGTTGTCTTCTAATCCTTACAACCCCTGTAGCATGCATACACACTCGCACCATAATAATAAGGTAAAAACAAACAATTACTGCAAAACTGAGGCAGACTGGGAACAGCAAATGGTGGTAAGGGTTTCTCCCTCCCTTTCTGCTTAAAGGTGAAACAAATTTGTGTGTGCGAGCATATGTGTGTGTGCAAGTGCAGGTGTGGTGTGTGTATATTTGTGTATATGTGTGGTATGTGACATGTTTGTGTGTATATGTGTGTGTGGTATGTATGCTATGTGTGTGCTGTGTATGTATGTGTATATGGTATGTGTGTGTGTGTGGTGTGTGTATATTTGTGTATATGTGTGGTATGTGACATGTTTGTGTGTATATGTGTGTGTGGTATGTATGCTATGTGTGTACTGTGTATGTATGTATATATGGTATGTGTGGTGTGTGTATAGTTTGTGGTGTGTGTGTTTGTGTGGTGTATGAGTGTATATGTAGTTCGGGGGACAGTCTTGAGTGTCATTCCTGCCATTACCTTTTCTGAGCAGGAGAACAGGTTTCTCACTGGCCTGGAGAAGGGTAGGCTGGCTGGCCAGTAAGCCCCAAGGACCCTCCTTTCTCCATCTCATGTTCTGTCTTCTGTTGTTGTTTGTTTGTTTTGTTTTAATGTGGGTCCTAGGGGTTCAAGTCAGGTTCTTGTGTTTGTAAAGCAAGCAGCTGACAGACTGAGCATCTCCCAAGCCTGGGAAGCTATTTGAGCTCAAACCTCAGCAGCCCGGAGGAATTTACAGACAAACTCAACTTCATTCATTTCCTGCTATGTATTTCTTTCTCTGGTTCCCCTCTGGATGCCCATGGTGGCCTTTTCACTTCTCACAACTTTTCTTCACTTGAATTTCTGCCGTGGAAGATGCTGGTACTGTGAAACTACAAGCTGCCACTACCTTTGCTGCCAAGTTTCTTCCATGACTTACTGCTTTTCTTTCGTTTTGTTTTTCGAGACAGGGTTACTCTGTGTGACTTTGGAACCTATCCTGTAACTAGCTCTTGTAGACCAGGCTGGCCTCAAATTCATAGAGATCCACCTGCCAGTACTCAACTGGAATTAAACTGCCTGGTGACTTATTGCTCTTTATAGTTTTTATGGTTTTTACCTACTTATTTTGAGGGTCTAACTATGTAGCCCTGTCTGGTTTTCCCACAAAATTCAGCAAGGTTGAGGGGAAACATTCTATGCCTCCAGTATGGAATCTCAAGCCATTTCCTGAACCTGTGTGTCCTATGCCATTTCCATACAGGCCAGATTTGAGGGCAAAGATGAGCAGAAAGGACACATAGGAGAGTTCAGGCATGCTGGCATGTCCAGGACTCTAGCCAGTTCCCCTCAGGATCCCTTGATGGGGGCTCTCAGGGGGTCAGAGCCAAAAGGAAATTGGAGGGGCAGAGCCATCCACCTAGAACTGGAACCAAAATTATTCCCATTAGGAGAACCCCAATGGCCAAGGCTCGTGCTTGGGAAGCACACTCCCCTCCCTTGAGCGCTCAGCTTTGTGGGGCTGGGAGCAAGTGGAGGAGTTGGTGCCAGAGCTGGGCTCTCATCCCTGGCTCACAGCTGGAGGAACATCTGCCCAGCACGGAGCTGCTTACTAAGAGCTTTCATAGAAATGATCTCATTTCATCTCCCATGCAACCCTGGGAAGAAGTTAAAGAGGAAGGGAAGGAGGCATGGAGGGAGGGAGGGAAAGAGGGAGGGAGAAAGGGAGGGGGAAGGGAAGGAGGGATTACCCCTAGGACCTCCCTCCTCCTGTGGGCCCCAGAAGCATATCCTTGACAGTTCAATGTGCCAAGCAACTCCCTCTGTCCATCCCCAATCTCCAGACTGTGTCAATCCACACCTGTTTCTAGGGCTACTTAAACATATACCGCCTTGATTTATGTAAAATTGACCCTTATAGAGTGGATGGTCAGTGGGTTTTACTATATTCATCACTGAGCATTTGTCACCACGGTCTAAGTTCAGAACGCTGTCATTGGTGTTCTTTTGTTACATATATAGGAATAAAGCTGGAGAAGGGGGGGTCCCGCTTGGGCCCACCCCCGGTAAGGGACCAGGTGGGAGAGCATAGCAGGTGAGGGTGACCAAGGCGAGGCGAGGGAATAACCCCAGGGGGAGGGGGAGGGAGAGAGCTGGAAAAAGAGCAAAGAGCAAAAAGAGATCGTATTGGGTGGGGTCTGTCTTTAAAGGGGTCCTTTGCACCTGCCTGAAGACTAGTACTCATGGAGCTCTTGGCTGACCAGAGTACTGCCTGAGTGCATTTTGCTAGGTAACAGAGGCAGGCCAGCGCAATGCCTGAATCCTTACAGTCATTAAACCCCCAAAAAAAACCCTGTACCCATTAGCAGTGACTCTGTATCACCAGGGTCCCAAAGGACTCAGACAGTATTTATCTTTGTCTTTCTGGCTCCTTTCACTTAGCACAGTATTTCCCAAAAGTCATCCAACTTTGAGTATGTGTCAATACTTTATTTATGGCTGAAAAATACTTCATTGTATAGGGCTAGAGATGTAGGTCAGTTGGTACAGTGTTTGGCATGCACAAAGCTGACCTAAACTCAATCCCCAGCACCGTATAAACCAGGCATGATGGCTCCTGCCTGTAATCCTAGATTCTGGAGGTGGAGGTGGAAAGTTCACAAGTTTAAGCTCATCCTCCACTACGTAGGGAATTCAAGGGCAGCCTGGGTTACATGAGAATTAGCTTCGAAAAGAAGCCTCATGAAGCAGTGGTGGCACACATCTTTAATCCTGGCACTGGGGAGGCAGAGACAGGTGCATCTCTGTGAGTTCGAAGACAGCCAGAAATACAGAGCAAGTCCCAGGACAGCCAGGGCTGTTTTCAAGCCAGTCTTGAAAAACAAAACAAAACAAAACAAAAACAACACAGGTATTTTTTTTGCCATTGTATGGGGATGGCTTTTTGGTTTTTTGTTTGTTTGTTTGTTTTGCTTTTTTGTTTTTCCAGACAGGGTTTCTCTGTGGCTTTGGAGGCTGTTCTGGAACTAGCTCTTGTAGACCATGCTGGTCTCGAATTCACAGAGATCCACCTGCCTCTGCCTCCTGAGTGCTGGGATTAAAGGCATGCACCACCACAACCTGGCTGTGGATGACATTTTTTAAAACAGGGTCTCATTATGTAACTCAAGCCAGCCCTTAAACTTTCTTTTCTCTTTCTTTCTTTCTTTCTTTCTTTCTTCCTTTCTTTCTTTCTTTCTTCATTTCTTTTCCCTTAAACTTCCTTTTCTTTTTTGTCTTTCAAGACAGGGTTTCTCTGTGTAACTCTGGCTGTCCAGGAACTCACTCTGTAGACCAGGCTGGCCTCAAACTCACAGAGATCCGCCTGCCTCAGCCTCCCGAGTGCCGGGATTAAAGGTGTGTACTAGCATTCATTTCCTGAGAATGTAGCTATGAGCTGGCTTTCAGGATCATGTGGCCACTTGTTCTAAGGGGCACCGGACTCATCTGGCAGTGCTCACACCATTGAGAAGTGCACCATTAAACTAGAGGGCTCTAGCTTCTCTGATCCTTGCCCACACTTGCCATTGCCTCTTTCACTTTGGCTTGTGTGGTGCCAAGTTCTGGGCTCAGCTTGTGGGGGACACAGTAGAGAGGGTATTATCTTTGTCACCAGAGGTGTTGTAGCGGAAGTCAGGGGGATGACAAACACATCTTCAGTCATGTGTTGATTAGTGTCAGTCAGTGACTGGGGGAAACCACTGCATTATGGTTTCCACCCTGAGCCATGATTTGTAAACAACAAAACCCAATGGCTAGACAGATGGAAAAAATGGGTAAAGTTCTTGTGGTGCAAGCATGAGGGCCAGAGTTCCACCTCCAGGACCCATGTAAAGATGCTGGGTATGGTGGCACGCAGCTGTAATACCAGCACAAGGAGAGATGGCAGGTCCCCTGGGTATGCTGGCCAGCAGCAGGTCTACTCTTCTTGCTGAGTTCCAGGCCAGTGAGATATCTTGTCTCAAGAAAGTAAGGTGGATGGTGCAAGGACACCTTGTCCCCTGACATCCATATACATGTCACACACCCTCTTGAGTGCCCATGCACATACTTACACACGCAGATAAACAGATTATGATGCAGGCACCATGGTTCATACCTGTAAGCTCAGCACCGAGGAGGCTAAAGCGGGAGGCTGCCATAGTTTGAAACTAATCTGGGCTACATAGTGAATACTAGGCCAGCTGAGGCCACAAAGTAAGACCATGTCTAAAGCAAAACAAAAAACAAAAAAAGAAAAAAGGAATTTAAGATCCCACATCTGCTTCTTTCATTCATCTGTCTTTCCATATATACAGTCATTTATCCATTCAACAAACCTTCAACCCTCAGTCCACCAGAATGCCCACACACTTATTTACCCACCCAATCAGCCTCCACCAGCTTATCCACCCATATTTTCAATATGTCTATGCAATCCCTATCTATCCATTTGATGAGCATTTGTCTCATCAAATATCATCCATCCATCTATCCATCTGTACATCCAGCTATCCTGGACCCAACTGCCTATCCATTAACTACTTGTCCACCCATTCACCCCTCCCTCTGCCCACCTATCTACCATCTACCCTTCCAATTGCTAACCACTCTAATGCCAGTATATCTGGCTATATATCCAGTCCACTCCCCATCCTTCCTCTCCTCCATCCATATC